TTAAGGACCCCCAACCTCCCAACTGCACCCGGCTGCGCGCTGCACCCTCCAGACCTGCGCTTCGGGGTGTATTCCGCAGTCCCCCAATCTACAGCAAGCCCCACGCCTGCAGTCAGCTGCCCTGAACCTGAAGGTGTCTGGTGGCTGTGCATTCCGTGGGCCCGTAATGAGCACACTTCATGTAGGCAAGAATCCTGTCGGCGAGGTTCGACACAGCCCGTGCCTCAGTATCCAATCACCCTCGATGTGGAACTGAATCCCCCTCCCCACCCCGACACAAAGTCTGTCTTAGCTTTTCTTTTTTTTTTTTTTTAATGAGTACACTGGGGATTGAACCCAGGGCCTTCGCACTGAGCTGCATCCCCAACCCTTTTTATTTTTTATTTTGAGATGGGGGTCTCACTAAGTCCCTAAGTTGCCCAGACTTGGAATTCTCCTGCCTCAGCCTCCCAGACTGTTGGGGTGACAGGCATGCACCACCACAACCAGCTCGGTTTGAGCATTTTCATAGTCATCTAGTTAGTTTCTTTCCTTTGTCAATAATATGGAGATCAGCAGCTCCCTATGCCACTGTGGGGCTGACCCCAGTTAAAGCAGAACTTAAAAGAAAATCCATTTTGCTAGCTGAAAGCAGCTCCCCACTCAGCAACACCCCCTCCCCCCGTAACAGCTGAGCTGTGCACGGCTACAGATAAGGTAAACCGTGAGATTTGTGCTGACAAGAGCCCTTCGAAGTCCTGCTTTCGCAGGAATCTGCCTTCCAAAGGCCGACCTCCCCCGGGCACTGATCAGGTACCGTCATATATCCCTGTGAAGGAAGAGTCCACAACCTCGGAGGAACTGGGTGCTCTCAAAAAGATACAGTGAAGACTGACAGCTGTGTCCCTGTACAAGGCTTAGGCCATCCTCAGACTCCTGATTTCTGGTTCTCAGGGCCAAGCTGATGTCTTTGTTCCTTTCTGTGCCCACCCCTCCCGACATTGTATAAAAACCAGAGCGTCTCTTGGTTCCACACTCGGTCTTTTGGCCCAGAGTCCACCGGAGTCAAGATAAAGCCCTCCCGTTACCCATTGGGCTCTCGCTTGTCCCTGGGGACTCTGCAGCACAATTCCGCAGGCCACACTGTGGGCCCCTGGGCTTCTGCTGAGCCCCGGCCACGAGAGCACCGCCACGCTGGACCCTGAACTGGTCCTGGCCCACTTCTTTGGGCAAAGGAAGCTCCCAGCAGGACCGGCCAGGTGTGGGTTCCTCTCCCCTGCCGTGACCAGGCTCCGTCTCCACGTCACTCAGGGTTAGGCTTGGGGACACACAGTGGCTGATATTTTTAGGAAAGGAAACTGCGTCCCTCCTGATCTGGTTCCCTGGCCAGGAATGGGGAGGAGAGAGAGAGGGGGCTCCCCCATCCTGGCCCGGGACTAATTTAGGCAAAAGGCACCCTGTGCTATTTCCAGCCAGGGAACAGGTGCGCCCCCCACTCCGCTGCCCTCCCTGAGGCCTCCTCCCCCAGGATGCCCTCTGGGATGCCCACGCCTATAAAGGCACCGGGTTTTCTCAATGAACCGGGACAGCCTGGCAGCAGGTCACAGCGGAGTGCACCGTCCCCGCCCCCTCCGCGGATATGAAGTTCGTTGTGGGCATCGGAGGGTGAGCGTGAGGGGCGAGGGCTGCAGGGAGGCCGGGAATGAACCCCGGAGGTCAGAGCCACCCAGCAGATTGTGTCCTCTAAGGGACAAGGGGCCACAGGGTGCAGGACTGGGTGTTTCATTTTTCCAGAGGGAAATCATCCTCTCTCAATTTTATTCAGGAGAGTAAAAAAAAAGCCAGGCAGGTTAGCCCGCACCTGTCATCCCAGCACTCTGGGAGGCTGAGGCAGGAGGGTCGCAAGTTTGAGTCTGCCTGGGAAACTTTTTGACTTAGGGAGACCTTATCTGAAAATAAAAAATATTAAATATAAATAAATATTAAAATAAAAATATTAAAAGGACTGTAGCTCAATATGAAGGCTTTGGGTTCAATCCCCAGGACAGCCAAAAAAAAAAAAAAAATTAGTGAATTCAGGCCAGGTGGTCCCTGAAAGACCTTGGGCCAGCCCAGGGGCAGATCCCTGGGCACATGGGCCAGGGTCCCCAGGACGCCATTGTGTCTGAGCAGATAAGGCTCTGTAACAACCAGAGGTTTTGGTTTTTTTGTACTGGGGATGAAACTCAGGTCCTTGCACTTTTGAGGCAGGGAGCAGCACTACTGAGCTAAATCCCCAGCCCTGTAACAGCCAATTAATGCTGGACATTTGCTAACTTGCTTTTTATTTTATTTTTTTAAACACAGGGTTGTGCTCGCTTTGGCAGGACATATACTAAAATTAAACAGGGTCTTCCTTGGTTCCTCCTCCAGCCTTGAATATTAAATTTCTTTCTTTAAAAAAAAAAAACAAAGAGTCTTGCCATGTAGTTCAGGTTGACCTTGAACTCAAACTCACTATGTAGCCCAGGCTGGCCTCAAACTCAAGGTGATCCTCCTGCCTCAGCCTCCCGAGTGCTGGGATCACAGTCATACATTATTACACTGGCTTCTAACTTGCTTTTCCCTGTAATATTTCAGGGTCCCTTTTCCCCACCAGCCCTTTGTAAGAGCATTTGTTTGTTCCCCTGTCCCACGCCTGCCTGCCTTATGCCCCAGATGCCTAGGACAAAGGAAACTGAAGCAGGAGGTCATTGCTCTCCAGAAAGACCCGGAGGTCGTTTTCTTAGCCACTGGGCAACCTGCTCTCCTGGTTCAGCCTGGGACCATCCTCAAGACTTTAAGATGTTCAGTGCTGGGCGTGATGGCGCACGCCTGTGATCCCAGCACTTGGGAGGCTGAGGCAGGAGAATCACTGTGAGTTCCAGACCAGCCTGGGCTACATAGTGAGCTCCAGGTCAGTCTCAACTATGTAGAGAGACCCTGTCTCAAAAACAAAACAAAACAAAAAAAAAAAAGATGTTCACTGTCAAAACTAGATGACCAGAACAGAATGGTCACCCAAAATACCAATTGGCTTGCTTTCTGTCTCTCTCTTTCTTTTTCTTTTTTGTTGTTATTGTTGTTTATTTACTGGGGATTAAACCCAGGGAGTGCTGAGCTACACTCCCAGCCCTTTTTTATTTTTTATTTTGAGACAAGGTCTCTCTAAGTTGCAGGCTGTTCAGAATGGGCTCAAACTTGCGATCATGTGCCACCTCCTTACCCATTGGGGTTCAGTTCTCCTGTTTCTGTTTTCTTTGTGTCTTTTTGTTCTAAGCAAGGCTGGACATCATTTCTGAAGTTGATTTCCATTTTTAGGGTTTAGAGAGGACTCCTAGCTTTTCTGTTACAAATGTCTCTTCTCCCCCTGACTGTCCCTCCCACTGACACCGGACCTCTGGGCTCCTATCCACCCGCCCCAGTCCGTCTCCCAGTGGCCCACAGCCTCACCTCACCCGGCTCTCCCTGCAGTGTGACGAACAGCGGGAAGACCACTCTGACTGACAGCCTCCGCAAGGCTCTGCCCAACTGCTGCGTGATCCACCAGGATGACTTCTTCAAGGTGGCCAGGGACAACGGGGCTGGAGGGGCCACAGGGTGGCTGCTGTATCCTCTACAAAGTGGGCTCATCTGGCTGCTTTGAATGAGTTTTCTTTTCCAAAACTAACTAGGAATTGAACCAGAGCCTTTGCTTTGAACTAAAGTCAGCCATTTATTTATTTATTTATTTTTTGGTCTTTATTTAGAGGCAGGTACTCACTAAGTCACTAAGTTCCCCCGGCTGGGGTAGAACTTGAGATCCTCCTGCCTCAGCCTCCCAGAGCACTGGCATGACCGGCACGCACCCCCACGCTGGCTTCTTATGGCTGCTTATGCAGGGTGGGAAATGAGAATAACGGGTCACCTGCGACCTGGGAGGAGGGGCCAGCGGCTGCAGGAAACCCCAGCCTCCCCATTGTGGGCTCCCAGGCACCCAGTGACCCGGGAAGAGGGTGAGGTGGGGCCGGCAGAAGTGAACACTGAGACCCCCAGCTCAGGCTCCTCTATTTCAGCCCCAAGACCAAATAGCTGTTGGGGAGGATGGCTTCAAACAGTGGGACGGTAAGGACAACGGCCACCCCGTCTCTCGCTGTTCCCCATGGCCCCTGGGGCCCGTCCTCCAACACCCCCTGTCTCTGGCCCCACCCAGCGCTCGCGTCTCTGGACATGGAAGCCATGCTGGGCACTGTCCAGGCCTGGCTCAGCAGCCCCCAGAAGTTCGCCCGCTCACATGGGGTCAGGGTGCAGCCCGGCGCCCCCGATGTCCACATCCTGCTGCTGGAAGGCTTCCTGCTGTACAGCTTCAGGTGCGCACCGGTCCCGCCCCTCCCTGGGCCTCATTTGTGTGGGCACGAGACCAAGGGGTGAGGCCACGGGAGGCCCAGGAATCCTTCTAGATCCCAGCAACTCAGGCTGGACCTTTGGGTTTAGAGCAAGATGGACTACGTCTCCATGCCTGTCTGAAGTGGGGGAACAGAGCCAGGTGTGGTGACGCACGCCTGTCATCCCAGCACTCTGGGAGGCTGAGGCAGGAGGATCCCAAGTTCCAGCCCACCCTGGGCAACTTCATGACTTAGCGTGATGCTGTCTCAAAATAAAAAGGGCTAGAGATGGAGCTCAGTGCAAAGGCCCTGGGTTCCATCCTCAGTACCTCCCCCAACATGGAGGGGCAAGACGGCTATTCTCAGGGGCCTGCCACCCCGGGTCCCTCCCTGACCCTGAAACGAGGCGGCCCGGGTCTCCTGGAAAGTCCTGGGCACTGACCGCGTCCCCCTTCCCACCAGGCCCCTGCTGGACTTGTACAGCCGCCGGTACTTCCTGAGGGTCCCCTACGAGGAGTGCAAGTGGCGGAGAAGGTCAGCAGCAGCAGGGGTGCCAGGCTCCTCCGGGGTGACCCACCTTCGGGGGCGAGGCCGTGAGTCACTCCTGTCCTCTGTCTCCCTCGGCAGCACCCGCAGCTACCCGGTCCCCGACCCCCCCGGGCTCTTTGATGGCCACGTGTGGCCCATGTACCAGAAATACAAGCGGGAGATGGAGGCCAACGGTGTGGAAGTGGGTAAGCGCCGGGCACCCCACCATGTCAGACAGCTCAGTCGGGTAGAAATGCTCTAGGCCCTCAGATGGGGCGAGGGAGGCCTGAAGAGGATGAAAACAGCACGCCTATGCCTGGAGGTGCAGGGAAGATTGAAGTCACCGCAGCCAGCCCTCCAGACTTCCCTAGGGGACATCAGCACCACCCTTTTGAGATTTCCCTTATAAACAGACCGTTATCTTGCTGGGGCGGGCCCACCTCTCCCACTAAGACTGCTAAATCTGAGGCTAAACGCCTACTTCACAAGCACAAGGTCCCGAGTTCGATCCCCGGTACCACACACACACACAAATAAATAAATAATAAAAACTAATAAGTCTAAGGCTAAAGACAGAAAAAAGCTGGGCGCGGTGGCACACACCTGTCATCCCAGCTCTCAGGAGGCTGAGGCCAGCTTGCGCTACAAAATGAGTTCAAGGCCCACCTGACCCTGAAAAAACAAAACAAACAAAAAATAAAAATAAAGCCGGGCATGGGGGTACACACCTGCAATCTCAGCACTCGGGAGGCTGAGGCAGGAGGATCGCTGTGAGTTCAAGACCAGCCTGGGCTACACAGTGAGTTCCAGGTCAGTCTCAACTACATAGTGAGACCCTGTCTCAAAAACAAAACAAAACAAAACAAAAAAACGCCATAAATAAATAAATAATAAAATAAAAATAAAGACAAGACTAAGACTATAGATTATCAACTAAGGTTAATGATGTCATCCATATGCCCTTGCTCTGTCTTTTTGTTTTGTTTTGTACTGAGGATGGACTTGGGACCTTGCTCTTGCCAGGCAGGCAGCAGAACCACTGAGCTAAATCCCCGGCCCAATGCTATATGTTCCACTTCCCTGCTGGATCAATATTAGCTAAGCAGTTGTACTTGTAATCTTATTGGCTCATTACAGTGGGACCCATGTTGTACCTACCTCATAATGTGCTCTGTGAAACTCTCTCAGGAAAGTGGCTTCTGTCGCAACCCACCCTCAAATCCCCTCCTGTCTCTCAGGAGCTGTCTCTCCCAATACATTTTCCTACTCTTAACCTCCACTGTTCCTTAGAACTCATTCCTCGATTTTGGGGGACACAAACTCGGTACATGTGACATCTAGCAGGTTGGGAGTTACATTTTTCCCCTATGGCAATCAGAGACAATTGGAAAGTTCCTCCTTGAGTCTCACCTGCAGTCTCTCTCTCTCTTTTTCTTGAGACAATTTTGCTATGCTGTTCAGGCTGACTTTGAACTCACTGTGTAGCCAAGGCTGGCCTAGAACTCACAGGGATCCTCCTGCCTCAGCCTCCCAAGTGGTGGGCATGCCCGGCTGTACCTGCATCTCTCTTGTTGGTCCCAAATGCTGTTCTATGCCCACAGCCTGATTGCAAGGCTGCTACCTCTGCACCAAGTTAGTCCCTACCCCCAGCACGCTGGTGCCCCCCAGGATCCCCAGGCTGACCGCGGCCCCTCTGATTTCAGTGCAGCTGGATGGCACACAGCCCCGAGACGTGCTCTTCCTGCAGGTCCTGGGCGACATCCAGAATTCACTGCTCAACCAGGAGTCCAGCCCCAGGATGGCCAGTCCTGGGCAAGCAGCCAGCCACTGTGTGGCCACGTCCCCTCTGGGGACGTCTCTAAAGAGAGTGTGAGCGGTGTCGTGAGGCTCTGGGATCCCAATGCCTTTGTAACCTCTCTGCAGCTTATGGAATAAACTCGGTTCTGTTTTTATAACCCTTGGTGTCTGGCATATTCTGTTTGAGAGGCTGAGAGAACCCTCCTGTCTCTGTGGGGTCTCTGGCAGCCCCTGGGTTGGCACTGAGAGCCCTGGTCATTAGTCTCAAGCTATTTGGATCCCTGTGTGGTATGCTCTGGGACCTTGGTTTCCCCAAATGGCAAATTTCCTGCAAGGTTTGAACGAGCTTCCGGGGCCTCTGAGCCAGGTCTGATGTTTTCCCTTCCATGGGCCGAGCTCTGTCCTATCCCGACCGGTCATTTTCTTCTGTGACTAAAGCTGATGCCCATATAATAGGGTTTTCCAGAATTTTCCTTGTCCCCAAATATCTGTAAAGAGCTGGGCATGGTGGCACATGTCTGTAACCCTGGTACTTGGGAGGCTGAGGCAGGAGGACTGCAGCGAGTTCAGGCAGCCTAGGCTACACAGTGAGACACCATCTCAAAAAAAAACAAGTACCGGGCCAGGGATTTAGCTCAGGGGTGCTGCCACCTGCCTCAAAAGCACAAGGTCCTGAGTTCGATCCCTGGTACCTAAAAAGACCGACCAAACAAACAAAAAACCCCAAAATACCTGTGAAGGACACACTTCTGTCCAGGAACTGAGCTCTTCTCTCCCAAGGAATTTCATACTTCCTGGAGACCCCGCCGCCTCGCACCCTCAGGGTGGTATTTTATTATTCCTGAGCATTTCACTGAGGGAGAAACTGAGGCTCAGATTAGTTTGGTAGAGCTGGGCTTTGAACCTGGGCCACCCAGATTTCATCCCCCACATCCTGGTTGGAACCCAGGGCCTTTGCACTGAGCCCCATCCCCAGCCCTTTTTATTTTTGATCTTGAGACAATCTGTTGCTAGGTTGCCCAGACAGGGCTCAAACTTGGGATCCTCCTGCCTCAGCCTCCCAGAGTGCTGGGATGACAGGCGTGTCCCACCTCACGTGGCTATTGTTTTCACTCAAAGTGAACAGGAAGGTCTGGTGGACCCAGGATTGGGGTGGCCGGATGGGGCACCCTTGATCAGAGGGTGACACCTCATGGGCACCTGCAGACCACAGTAATGACTCCCTTCAGTCCAGAAGGGCATAGGGCACAGGCCAGGTGGGTTTGGGCACAGCAGTGAACATTTGGAAAGTGTGTGGGTGCAAAGAACAGAAAGGACCAATTGCTATGCAACACAGCAATTTCACTCCTGGGAATGCACACAAAAGAATTGAACCAGGTGTGGGGGCGCACACCTGTCATCCAAGCTTCTCCAGAGGCTGAGGCAGGAGGATCACAGGTTCAAGCCCAGCCTGGGTAACTTAGCAACTTAGCGAGGCCTTGTCTGAAAATTTTAAAAAATAAAAAAAGGCTGAGGCTGCAGTTCAGTGTGAAGGCCCTGGTTCAATCCCCAGTACAACCAGAAAAAAAAAAAGAAAAATCCTAATTATAAAATGGAGCAATTGTAATGGTATACTATAATGAAGGTTATTTATAACTTATGAATTATTTATTTCGAGGATTTTCTGTTTCGTTATTTCAGGCCGTGCGGCTGACTTCGGCTAGCGGAAACCCTGGGATGTTGGGCCACAGATAAGGAGAGTCGCACCCAGGTTGGTTAACTACAGGGCACGAGTGTTTGTGTAGCCCAAGGGCTAAGGACCATCCCATATTTTTACTACTTATGTGTTTATTCTTTTGCGGTGCTGGCGTTGGAACCCAGGGCCTCACACACGCTGGGCGAATGTTATACAACCAAGGTGGATTCCCATCCACCGGCTTTACAGTTTTAAATGGCTGGAGAAGAAAAACCATATGAGAAGAATTAAGTTTTTCCACACAGGCAAATTATATGGAATTCAAATTTCGGTGTCTATAAATAAAGTTTTATTGGCACACAGCCACGTCCACTTGCGACTGTTCTGAGCTATTAACAGCCGAGTTGAGTTGCCGTGGCCATTGCAGACTGTTCTGCAAAGCCAGAAATATTTACCATCTGCCCCTCCTCAGGAAATGTGTGTCCATCCATGTGGTTCAAGGCCCAGGGCACAGGGCCTTTGGGGACAGGTGACATCTGAGGCCCCTGTCCTCAGGAGGACAGGCAGAAGCTACTAGAGGAGAGGGCCCAGGGGCCTTGCCAAGCCATGACCTTTGCCACAGGCACACAGTGTCAGGAGGATCTGCCTGTCATTGTGACCAAAATAGTCCAGGATGGGACAGGGATATGCGAGAGGTGGCTCTAGGACAGCCAGAGCGCTGCTTGGCCAGTCAGGCATCTTGGGATTTGTTTTTTTGTTTTTTTTTTAAAGAATGATTGGCACACACTTATAATCCCAGCATTCTTGGGAGGCTGAATCAGGAGGGTCTCAAGCTTGAGCAGCCTGAACAATTTAGCAAGACCTTCTCTCAAAATAAAAAATATAAGGTCAGGCTGGGGATCTAGCTCAGTGGTTCTGCCACCTGCCTCGCAAGCACAAGGTCCTGAGTTTGATCCCCAATACCCGTCTGCCCCCAAAACAAGAAAAGAAAGAAGAAAAAATATGTATATATGGTCAGTAGAGTAGTTCAGTAGTATTATGCCCATGGGGTCCAATCCAAAGCACAAGAGAAGAAAAGAAAAGAAAAGAAAAGAGGGGAGAAGGGCAGGGGAGAGGAAAAAGAAAAAGAATTGAATTCCCGGCACCCCACAGTGTGGAGGCCGCGCTGCTCAGGAGCCGAGCCACACACAGGAGGACACGCAGGGCAGGGCCCCACTCCCGGGAAGCCCCAGTGTGGTCAGGTCCACAGAGACAGGAAGGAGGACGGTGGTGCCGGGCTGGGGAGGGGACGGGGTCAGCGTTTCCTGGGACAGAGCTGGGGGGATGGAAAGTCCTGGAACTGGACGGCAGGGGCAGCCCAGCAGAGGGACGTGCTCAATGCCAGCACGCCAGGAGCTTAGACAGAGTCAAGGTGGTCAGTTTTGTTTTATGTATACTTTTTCAAAAATTTGTTAACCAGGCATGGAGGCACACACCTGTCATCCCTGCACTCGGGAGGCTGAGGCGGGAGGATTGCCATGAGTTCAAGGCCAGCCTCAGCCACATAGTGAGTTCAAGGCCAGCCTGAACTACCTGTATAGCGAAATCCTGTCTCAAAAAAATTCTTTGTTAAAAAGAAGAACACTAGCTATAGGGCGACCTGCTGACCTTGATGCCTGTCGTCCCAGCTCTCAGGAGGCTGAGGCAAGAGGATCACCGCAAGCTCAAAGCCAGTTTGGGCTACATAGTGAGACCCTGTCTCCAAAAGATTAATAATAGTAACAGTAATAATAATTGTAAAATCCAAAGAACTACTGAACCTAAAAATGCTTGGTTACACATCAAATCTCCCCCAAGGACACCCAGCAGTGAGGCTCTCCCTTTCTGGGATTTTCAAGTCCAAGATCAATCTCGGGTGAGAGTATTCTCACCAGTTCGGTTCAGCCCCCGGAGGACCCTGGGCTGTGGATATCTGTCTGGGGACATTTGGGGCAAAATGACCGCCTGAGGGAGCTCCTGGCATGGAGCTGGCGGGAGGCCTGGGAGCCGCTCTGGTGACAGCTGATGGGCTCTAACCCTGTCCCCTGCCCCGAGGCACCCAGCAGGGGACCCACTGCACCCTCAGGGCCCAGGCAGGGGCTGAGAGCCCGGAAACCTGGCCACACCCTCCGGCCAACATGTCCCCTGCCCGGATTTAATGGGGCCAGGCCTGGCCATGTCAAGGTCCCCCTTGCCTGCAGGCCCCTCCTTCATCCCCACAGGGCCCCACAGGCACAGGGAACCCTGCCTAGGGGGACAAAGCCCACCTCCCCCCTGCCAGGAAGCTCAGAGGTGACCTGCGAGGTGGGGAACGGGCAGCCAGGAGCAGAGGCCTGGGCACAAGGGATCCTAGAAAGTGTTCGCAGGCCTCCTGGGGGCTGAGGAGACCCCTGGCTGGAATGAGTCTCCTCAGCATCCTCACCAGTCAGGAAGCTGCTCTGTACCCCAGTTCCTGCTGGACGTCTCCCCGCTCCCCAGAGGCCCGCTGCAAGGACAGACACTTCAGGACGGATGCGCCCTGTCCCCGTGGCTCCCCCACCCAGTCCCCCAGCCCCAGATGGTCACCCGGGCAGAATTTGGGCTTCCCCTACATCTTAACAGCCATGGAAGGGAAGGACAGAAACGCACCCACCCGGTCGGAGAGGACAGAGACCAGCGGCGGGGACAGAGGCCACACCTGTCACCCACATCAAGTAGCACTCAGCTGGCCTCTTAATCAGCAGTTACTCGACTGCCACCCCCACCAGGGCCGACACAGTCACCTCCAAAGGCCACCCCGCTCAGGCCACGAAGGGGGGCGTCTTTGGGGCTGACTCAGGGACCGGCCACGGCCAGGGGGTGGAGCAGGCTGACAGGGAGAAAAGCTGACAGCTTCAGAGGCCCCCATGCCATCTGCCACAGCCCAGGAACCCCCAAATCTTCCTGGCACTCTCAGAGGGCGGAGGCATCCCGAGAAGCAGCCTCGGCTCCCCCTGTTCCCAAGGAGCTTTCAGGAGTCCTGGGCAAAACTGGGAGCCAGAGAAGACAGGGGCTCTGCTCCCTTCGAGGTAGGGGGACAGACGGTGGGGTCGGCAGCTCCCAGAAAGGTTGCCTCCGCCCCACCAACACCCACGGGGCTCCCACAAAAACGCCTTCAAGCAGGGCATGGTGGCCTATGCCTGGCAGTCCAGCACTTTGGGAAGCTGAGGCAGGAATTACCTCAAGTTCAAACCTACCTGGCCAACTGAGGGAGACCCTATAAAAAATAAAAAGGGCCGGGGATACAGCTCAGTGTAAGGCCCTGGGTTCTGTGCTCAGGACCTCCCCCCGCAAAAAGAAAAGAAGCCTTCAAAACATAAAATCTCCTGGAACTGGGTTGGGAGGCAGCAGGATGGGAGGGACCGCACCTCGATCCTGGTCCTCCACCCTCACCACCCCAAGACACACATGCACTCT